AATATTCCTAAATAAATTCCATACTTTGACCCAACAACAACATACAGTGTTGATTTTCAGGTGCAAATTTTATTGTGGATCATAACAAAAGTTTCAGAAAAAGCACAGGAAAAATCACCAATAGAGTGTCTCTTACTTACAGAGTACATAAACTATATTCTGTGAAAGCTACTAACTCTGCAGCTGAAGGCAATGCAGCTTACTTTAAACTTATCATTATTTTCAGATACGCGTGTTAAGAAGCAAATTTTGCAAATATTCTTTTTTCTCAATTAATTTAATATTGAAATTGAGAACCCAATGTTTCAATGACACTAACATTGTCGCAGAGTGTGTAGTATTAAACTGTTAGACAGAAAATAAAATCTCGTTATTGCAAAAAGAAATAGGCACACAGAAAATATTGTCAAAATACATAAAATTAGCCCTAGTAAATGTTAAATGGCTCAAAACCTCTTTGGAAAATCTGTGGATGCTGAGGTATGCATAATTTTGGAATTTTGGTGCTGCTATCTCCATTTTTCATGTGATACATCAAAACAAAACAACTTAAACTTTAAACTAATTATAACTTTCTACGAAGGATTTCTTCAGCCTTTTATTGTACTTCAACTGTAAAGAGAAAACCCACACTAATTCTTATAGTAAAACGACAAAAGTCTATTAGGTAACAGTGTAGAAAATCTTGCAAGACGTCTTCAAGGTACTGTTCTCTCTTTGGGTGCTTGGCACATACACAGGCCATTCAGGAAGGCTGTTTTGATAGGAAGACAAGAATAACAAAAACTAGACCTAAAGCTAGTATCTAGTATATTAAATATCATATATATCTTTCTCTAATGAAATAAAACCCATTACTTTTAAAAGCCATTCTGCTTTACAACACTGTGGCTTGCAGTAAGGTGTCTGCTAAATTAATCTGAAACATGAATTTAAAAACACACTTTACAAAAACAAGTAAGAACAAAGATCAACCAAGTAGCATTTACCTCAATCTATATGTAAACTATTCCCAAGTACTGTAACCCTTTATAAAACAGAAAGGACCAAATGCTCTGTTGATTTAATGCCACTGGTTTACATGGAGCTATGCCAATCAGCAACTTGATCCACAGTCAATCGAAGTAGATTAGGACCTTATCCAGCGCTTGCCGGTCCACTTGAATTCCTGAACTATGTAGCTGCAAAGGCTGCTGCCAGCCTATAACAGGAAGATATCTACTGACTAAGAAATGCAAAGAACTAGATATTCTGCAGTCAGCTCATTTAATAAGAAACTTAGTGCGTCTGTACTCCATTGGAAATATAAAGCAATCCAATTCTGGACTTTATGTGTGTGTCTCAGGTAAAATTATGCAAAGATTCCTTCAATACCTTTTTTCTAGGGCCTGTTTTTTATGGCAAATAAATGCCATTCAGCTGGGAAAGAAATCTGAAAGGAGCTGACCTCAAGATATTAGGGTTTCAGATAATTATTTTGACAACAACTTTTTGACATACTATTAAGAATCTGTAGCTCCCCTTCGAAAAAAATAAGTTTTGTGTGGTAGACAGAGCATGCCAGGATCCATCAATAAGGAAAGGATGCCTCTCTCCAACCACGAAACAAATCTGGATACCATATTGCTGGATGCAATGGATGGATTAGAATTTGGAGAAGCACAGAAAACTCTGTTCTTTTGGCAGTTTCATAATGCCCCAGCAGCAGAAATGTTTACTGTTTGTTTGTTACTCAAGGCAGGCTAATAATCTGCCAGTTTTTGGTGGACTCAGCTACCTGTGGGCTTTCATGGGACAGAGAGCAACAGACAAGCACATTGGTCTGGTGGACGAGATCCAAATACCACCGTGAGATCCTAAGGCAGTGGCTTGGATTCATACTACCTGGCTTTAGAGACCTAGCCAAAACGCTGAGATAGCGGCCTCGAGATCAGAGGCTCCCTCTGGGACCAGTAGAGAAACTGGCCTCTTCAGGTGACTGTTCATATCTTACATGGGCTAAATCCATTGATTTGGATCTATTTAATCATTTAAAGTAATCATAAATAAAACCAGGATTGACTTAAAACTTAAACAACTTCTACCTTAATATAAACAGTGAGGAAAATTCTGCATTCAGCTGTACATCAGTATACACCGCTGTGTATCAGAATAAAAGCATTATAGGTGTTAGCAGAATTTGGCCCAGCTAACATAACATTTCACCTCCCTGAAGGAAAGTGCTGGCCTACACTGATTGCTGAAGAGCAAACTGTCTACAGTAGTATTCTATATTTCTATAATATTCTGTATCAAAGCAATAAATATTAGATATAATCTGTATATTAGATTTCATATTTATCTGATAGCTATTTAAATCTACACTGTCAAAAATATAAGCAGTGACCCACTCCTACATGGCAGCATATACTATTTGTGTGCATGTGTTAAAACTATTACATGGGTCTATATTTACATAGGACACTCTTGTTTATATAGCAGATTTTAATTTAATTCTTACCATAGGATAGAGAATTGTGTAAAGGTTGGATATTGTTTAAATGTTTCAATGGTTCTGCATAATTGCATTTCAGCATGAGGATTTCATCATTCTGCCTCAGTTTTATGTTTTTTAAATGGAGTCTGACAGACTTCAAAATCTCCAATAATGTTATACCAATATAGCACAGGAATACTTATTTTCAAGTCTAGGCAAAAAACAGTTTCGCTGTTCCTAAGCTTTTTCCTTTACATATATAAATCTCCTTTTAAAGCAAGTGCACTCCTGAAAACAAGGGCAATCAAAATGTTTTGGCATTGCTGAGATGTGAAGGAGTATTTCAGCTGAGCATGATCTGCAGAAAAACGATCATACATTTATTAATTAACAATTACAATTACTACAATCTAGGTATGCAAATGAAAAACTTACATGTGAAACATTAAAATAAGCTGAAATTGCTGCTGGTATATACATGAGAAGTTCTGTCTCAGTTTGCGCAAAAAATGCTTTGTTAGTTCCCATCATTTAGCTTCTCAGGTATTAAAGATATCATGAAAACATGTTCATTTTCACTGAGGTAAAAATGTCCAGTTATTTACCTGTGTAAAAGGCAAATAATTGTTATTTTCTGCACCTCTAATTTCAGAAACTCATTTAAAAATGTAGAGGTAAAAGAATATTTTAATAAAGATATTTAGAATGCTTATAACAATCAGATAACAATTCCTGAGTTCAGAGAACATGCAGGTATTGTCCTTTGAATTAAATATTGACTTTCCTTTGCAAAGGTTGATATTTACTTCTCAGAATAATAATTTCTGTGGCCCCCCAGCAGAAGTCAGTATCATTTTGTTATTAAACATCAGTTAGTGTTCATCAAAGACAGAACGTAATCGCTTGTCTTCCCTTTACGTTAATGTTGCACTGGAAAACTCTACATTAAAAAAAAAAAGCTTTATAATGCTTTATATACTGAGTAACGTTTAGCTGTTACTGACTCTTCTTGCCAGAACTGCATTTCTTCAGATGAACAGACTCAAGAGCTGACAGATTGCTTTCCCTTTCACCTATACCAGTTCGGCCATAATTGGATGACTATTAACAAGTCTCCTTCCTGCACTAAGCAGTCCGAAGTCGTCCAGTGACTTCTGCCTAAGGATTTTTTCCTTACTGTGTAATCCAGGATCCCAAGAATCTGTGGTTGCATGGGAACACTTCTTTTAGAAAGGTATCTAATACTAACATCAAGACTTCTAGCAAATGATTAATTTACTCTTCAACTTATGCCAGTGCAGTTTTTTATGATTAACACTTGTGTCAGGCAGTCTCTATCAGCTTCTTTATGCAAACTTAACTGGTGCTTGATATCAAGTCTAAGGGAAGAATCAACTCCCATTTCTCTTTTGTGTCTTTGTTAAAGCCAAAACCAAACAGATAACAGTTTATACTTCGTTATGATTAGAAAAAAGTACTCTTCATGGCCATGTAAAATGACCAAAAAACCTTACACTGTAACGGAGTCTTTACAGATGGGAGTAGTTTTGACCTAAAAGCAGTGCTTTTGTATCTGAGAGGCTACAGGAATGTTTCTGGAAAATAAATCTTATTTTCTGTGCTGGACATTATGCAGCAAAATACATCTATCATAAAATCAACCAAAGGGACAGATTCTAAATCCTATTTAGCAATAAATCTATACTTGCAACTTGGTAATCCTGTGTTTAAACTACTAAAAGAAAAACAAGCCGTTCTTTTACTTTCTAATACTATGTAATAATACAAATATTATAGGGAAACTGTATTATACAGGTGTGTTTTCCTGAAATGTGTACTTTGCAAAAAAAGATCTCTTCCTCAAACAAAAGCAAGTGACAAGCTGCAAAGTGTGCTTATGCAGAATGGTCAATAACACATATTTAAAGCAGAGTATCACATTAGAATAAGTCTGAAGGAATGAGTAGCCACTTCAGTTTGTACCCATAAAATTCAAGCCTAACAGCACTGGAAATATAAATTAATCAGGTTAAGTGCTTGAGAAAGTCTCTTCTTTTTAGCTGTGAAACGAAGAAGAGTATTTAACTGTTTCTCCCCGTGCACATTTCTCATAATTAGAATGCAACCATCTTATCATGAATAGAAAATCCCCAGATTAGAAAAGATATATGTAAAAAAATATTAAAATAGATACTCAGTGCTGAATCTTCCTATGATTGGCTTTAAAGGCTGATTTGAATTAAAGTTACTAAATCTCTTTTTCATTCTTGTTTCACCTACTACAAAACAGTGTGAAGACAGTTACTATTGAGACATTAATTCTCCCGAATATACCCAAATACCTTCCTCCAAACCTTTTTCTTCATAATTTATATTAGTTTTAAATCTACTATGAAAATAGTAGTGCAAGAATAATGAACTAAAAATTCTTCAGGTAAATGGTTTAGTTCCTTAATGCCGATGAAAAATATGCTAGTTATGATGCTTTCTTTGTTAACACTCCTTTACGTCCCAAATCAATTCTTCACTCCACATTCCTGTATTTGGTAAACAAATTGTACAGTACTCTCAGCGTAGACTTCAAGTCGCAATTTACAATATCTAGAAAAAAGGACAAGGGAAAAAAACATTAGTAACTTCATTAGCTCAAAACATTTCCAGAAAAAGCGCCTGTTCTCTACTCCCTTTCCTTGTTCAGCTCCATATCCATGAATATTCGAATCACAAAGATGTTAAGAAAGAGTAGCAATATAAATATAGCACAGTTTTTAAACTGGCAACTCAAAAATCATTATTTCAACTGCTTTTAGTTAAGGATACAAATGGCTAATGTTACTGATGAAGAAACGCAACCGAGGTTTAGATGCCCATGAGACAAATTGTGCCTAGGATTACATATATTTATATGACTGAATCTTCAGTCGGTTATGGCCAAAAAGTAATGATTTTGAAAAAATCATCAGGCAGGAACCAATGGAACTATTCTCTTATGTAAGAATTGCAGGACCTGGCCCATTCTGGGCTGCAACATCCTGTATTAGGCCTAATTTCAGCAAGATAGCTAGAGGCAAGTTTAAATTTTCTAAAGGATCTAAAGAAGCTAGGTATACAAGTGCCCCTCGAAGACACTTCTGAAATGCTCTGGGTTAGCTGATGTACATGGCTGAATCAGTCCTTCGAAACTCAACATCTAAAGTAAACGATTTATAGGAAACAAAAAGCTAATGAATACCTGCTGTTTCCAAGAGAAGTTGTTGAGAAAGTCAATATTAATTCACAAGAAATCTATAAAACAAACTGACAAGTACTACTGCAGCAGTCTATGCTGGTGCTTCAAGGAATATTCAATCTCAAATAGGGACTCAGAATTGCCCTCAGAAAGAATAGAAAAGTATTTGAATAGAATAGAATTAGAACAGAATTAGAATAGTCCTATCTCTTTCTGTTGATTGTATAGGAACTCAATCTCCTAACTTTGGTTCTTGGAATTGGGCATGAAGGTGTAAAGCAGGAGGTCTTCAAAACCTCCAAGTAAGCCTAGTAAATTGTGTATGTAATCATCAGATATTTTTGCCATTGTATTTATCTACAGTGATGTTTCTCACAGATTGTGAAGGGTTTATACTTTGAAGAATGTATCCAACCAAACCTATGCATGGTGTCCCAAAGTATGCAGACTTTGAAGGGCTAAAGATATTAGCTACGTGGCAAACTGACATCCATGGACAAAGGGTGAAAATGATCAAAGGGTGAAAACAATCAAACCTAGATTTTATGCTGAGACTATGCATGGTCATGAAACCATGGCCACATGGTTTTGTGGCTCTTAATAAATCAGATCAAAAATGCTTGATATAAAATGAAGAGAAAATGCCAAAAACTACACAAAGGGCACATTGCTCCCACAACATCATGTTATATGCAAACAGTATTGCAGAGTATAACTCGGGAAGTTTCCTCTTTCAGGCCAGCAGCAAGCTATAACACCTTCACTTCCTAATACAGAACTTCAAATGAACAAAGAGATAACTTTGACAGGTCTTTGCAAAGTTACCAGAAGACTCCACCACCACAACAGAATTCCATAGAAAGGTCCAAACTAGAAAGAAGCGTGCTCCCAGAGAAAGATGAGTTCTTTCCATTGCTACGTGTGTTTGACCAACACATCTAATATTTTACTGGTTGAAATTTTCAAAAAGAGAAGCTTTAGTTTGGCTTTGATGTACACATTTCAAGGAGTAATCTGAAAAAGCTCAAACTGCAAATGAATTCATTACAGACTCAGTAGATTAATGTTCTGGCCATTTTTAAAGTAAAAGGTCACGGAAAGCTTTTTAATACCTTTTCAATTATATTGCAAATAACCCAAATAAACTGTTGACCCCATAAAAATCATTGGTTTTCATACTCATTTATTTAACCGCATTCTTTTTTCCGCTAAATATGTTTTTCATATTCTAAAGCACTTTTCAGCATATTTTTTCCTCAAGAACCTCAAAGAAACAGTGTAGGAATTTAAAGAGTATTTAGTATACACGTTTAGGGTAAAATCCTTTTCAATACTCTTTTGCTCACTGGAAATTTTAAGTACGGGCATTGTGCCCAATGTAACAACACATAAAACAGATGTGTTTTTCCATTCACATTGGGCAGGAAGTTTCATATTAAGCATTTCAATAATTGCACAAGAAATGTCTTATATATGCTGAAATATCCTTATGGCTTGATTTATACTGGAAAAATTAGCTGTCCCCTAGAGCAATAAATACCTGAAAAATTAAATGCCGTAAGAATTTTAAACCTCCATGGGGAGTAAGGGATCAGAGATACTCTCTATTTTACTTGGATCCCTAGATTTCACTATTTCCCCCTTCTCTCTTTGACTATTTCAAACATAAAAGTTTGTAATACAGTCACCACTGGTTTAGTTAAGCATGATTGTGGATAAGCGTTCAAGCTATCAAAAGAAGCGAGAAAATAAGCTGGGTAGGTCCAGATTAAATGCATAGGCAGCATAGGCTCAATCCTGAGACATATTTTTTTGTATGTGTGCGTATGTCTGCTGCTGTTATGATCTGGAAGTTGGGAGGGATGGAAAATAAGCAGAATGGAGTAGAACTTGATTCAGTAATGTGTGCCTGAATCTCCAGAGAGCCCTTACTATTAGAAATAAAACTCTGAGCATTAGCTTATATCAACTCCTCAGGGAATGACAATCCAATATTACGGCATGAAAAGATTGCGTGCACCATAGAATGTGAATCTGCAATGGGTCTTGAAAACACACATATATTGATTATTATGGTTGGTAACCAGCAGAAGCCCAGCTACCACCCCTGTTGGGAAGAGTGGAGCAGAAGCTGCACATTCAGCTCCTGCATGGTAAGAAGTGGTAACTTCTCATGGGAGGAACCACAAGAGTACCCTGTAACATGGTGAATCAAGGGCCCTATATCCAGCCCGAAAAGCTGGATTTAAACCCTGTATTTATATGAGCAAAGAGGACTGGAATCCTAGGAGTGGAATCCTAATTCTGCTAAAGTCAGCAGCAAAACCTTCATCTTCCCTGAAGACACATTTTACTTTCAGTCTCCAGCTCTAAATCTAATTTAAATGTGTATGATTAGGTCCTGCACTCAAAGGCAGTGAACATTTGAATGTGAACATTTGAAATTCTTCTTCCACAACATCTACTTCTTCCGTAAAAATCTTGTAAATTACACTGGAATACTTGAGGTTTAGTATGAAGATGTAGGATGGGGGAAAACAGAGCAATTGGAGCAATTCAGATCTGCCAGTGACACCATGCACAATTGTGTTCTTTTTCTTTCAGTGAGTATCTGAGTATTACTGCATGTTTGGTCACGCAAATCTTACCCTGGCCACTCAAGAAAGGAAGCCTTGCAGCATTTGAAAAAGCATATCTATCAGCCATCCAAAATGAGCACTTCAAAATGTATCTTCCCTTTCGCTCTTGGATTAATGTTTTAACCTTCATTTAGCTATACCATAATCCTATGAGATAAGATCTGGATCCAATGCAAAATTTTAAGAAGATACAAAAAAAGTAAAATAGATACCTTCTGGTCTTGGCTTTGGTTTTTCCAATCCACCATCTTGCATTAGTTCAAATGCAAAGGATACATTGAGGACCTAGAAATATAATAAAGGTAGTCATTATTGTGAACTATATACAGTATAGTATAAATGGTCAAAAGAAGACTTAAAGCTGAAGACCCAGGTGCTCAGAAGGAAAAAATAGTCAGGGCTCTGTATATCAATGGAAGATCTGGTCCATGGAATCCAGACAATCCATTGTTTTGTTTTTTCTGGGTGGTGATGGTGGTTTCAGAAATATAAAAGGAACTGAAAAATAACACGTGAACTAATATTACCCATAGAAAAATTACTTACAAGTAAAAATAGCCCACCTCCCACAACTTTAAAAATTGGAACATGATGGCCCTTGAAGTGCTCTTGTCTTGAATAGACAGCTGAATTGCCTGGACAGCAACAGACACAGGGGTAATAGTTGGTCTTAAAATGATACATAGTACATACATGCCTTCATGCTTCCAAAAAACATGAAACCTTTCAAATGTTAAATTCTTGGATTTTGGACACAAAAAATCAGTTCTGTCATCAATTCATGTGTATAATTCTTTATACACTTAATGAACAGTAAGTCTGGTTCAATGACAGCATCACACAATGGCTGCCAAAATCAGTTAATACTTGCTAACCACCCCATTATTAATATAATTTTCCTTTTTATTCTGGATAAGCATTAATAGTGAGATCTTGGAAATGGTTACCAGTACAGTCCTCTCTTGATTTCAGCTATTTACATCAAACTTACGCGGAAAAGTTTGTGTCATCCTTGTACTACTAGACATGTTTATATGTTTATTTGTTTTTAACAGAAAAATGAAATCTAATTACCTTTTGTTCAAAACTATCAGGAGTCAAGAAAAAGCTGTGCAGAGGAACAAAATAGCCTTCTAGGAGACCCATTAGCAGGACTAAGTAAACACCATCTGCAAACTGTAAAAAAAGACATTTCTCGGTACATTTTCTGAATAAGTCATTGCTTTGCTTAGTGAACAAGATATATATTGTCTAATGCAGAACTGTCAACAAACTACTAATATAAATATTTTAAATTGCAACTAAAAGATCTCATCTCACTCCTTTGATTCCTTTTATTTAGTTAGTACGTTCTGTTATGTCTTCTCCAAAACTGACTTAATGCTGAAATATACATGCAGAATAAAGTTCCTGGAAAGAGAGGTCGTCAGTGGCTTTGATCTATGCCTTTGCTTTCTATTCTACTAGTTGTGGGGAATCAGAACAGCCACCTTTCAAGCTCTCAAATGGCATTCGCTGAGCAGAGAAAAGCAGAACGAAGGTGCAATCTCATGACTGCACTGAAATTCAGTATATTGGAGGAAATAAAGGAACAAAGAATCATCTTTGTCCACGTTCTGCAAGTCCGAGTCAATCTAATTTTAAATGTATGTAATTACAGATGGAAAATACCTAATTGCTATGATATACGTTCATTTCCATGTAAAAAAATAGCAACATCCATAAAATTTTGTTAAAGGCCTCTCACTCTTACCCCTGTGGCATCAGGTCTATCAGTGCACTGAGATATCTTCACAATCAAATTGAGTTATCTGAAGCAACCCATCATCTTCCTGAGGTAGATAATTTTCTTTCAACTGACAGAAATACAATCTCTCATCTTGGGGAATACTGTTTCAGGTAAATGCTTAAGGGGTTTCTAGGTACATTTGAATAATAGGTTTTTTCCAAAAGTAAACAATGCAATAAGCAGGCATAGGGAACACCTTTCTGAAAGCCCTTACCCATTATTTCCAACTAAATCTTAATTTTACCTTTGTAAAATCTCTACCAGATTGATAGCTATTTAAATAAACCAGAGATTCTTAATAACATGAATCAAGACATAAAATAAAGCCTGTCCTGAAGACACTTGGGTTTTTTTGATAGTGTGGATACAATCATTCCTGCCTGACCTTGTAATTTTCTTATGATAACTGCTGCAATTGTTCACATGGGGAGGTATTAATACAGCAGGATTAAGCTTTTCTTTTAGCTTCTTTCCAGCCAATTTAGCAGCTGAGAACAAGAAAGAAGACCATGTACCACATTATTTCTGTGGTGCAATCAAGCCTGCAGCCCAACTGTACAGCTGCCTATACACTTGAGTAGCCTTACTCTCAAGAACGTATCTCACTGAATAGAGTCATTGTAATCCCATGTGATTGCGTGCTTGTGTAAAGGTAGGCAGGAAACAACTGTTCAGCTTGACGTTGGATCAAACCAAGCGGACAGAGTTCTTTCCTGACCAAAACAAGCACAGGTTCTGCTGGCAGCACTTGGCAGCACCCAAGAGGTAGCATCTGTTAATTGATTTTTATGCTAATGGAAATACAAAACTGTTTTAGAGAAATTTAGCTGCCCTCATGATTTCTCTGCTTAATTGGTGAGGGTCTTCTTTATATGAACATATTTAGAATTGAAGGGTTTTCTGCTGAAATAATACCTTAGAGCTCAATCAATAATAATTCAATGAAATTTCTGGATAAAGTTGGGGGCATAGTGCATAACATAGTGCAACTATCCCTCCCCTTTAAGAAAGGCTGTGAAATTCTACCTGGGTCTCCAGTTCAGTGACCTCCAAATTCAATTTATTGAGATGCTTGTTCACAAAGGTGATGAGAGTCTGAAATATGAAAACAATGTAGTGAAGGCCTATTCAGTAGGGCAGCAGTTCAACGCGTACAGTATGAACTCCACTCAGAAGCAAATCTGCATGAGTGAAGAGACCGCAACACAATTTTTAAGTTTAAAAACTGAAATGTGACATAAGAAAAACAAAATCTTTTTTTTCCCCAAGAGTGAAGAACAGAAATAAAATGAACGTGATGTATATAAATAAAAATACACTGTTAAAACACAGTAATTCTTAAAAAAAAAACTTGTAGCAGACTATATGGAAGTGGGTAATTGGATTCCACTCAAATCTGACAGCAGCCAAAATACTCTAGGTCAGACCCCTGGCAGTTATAAACTGGATACCTCTTTGGCATCAGTACACTCACTCTACCAGTTGGGTTCTACTCAACATACACTTTGTGAGAACTTCTTTTTGATGGAAACTTTGATAACTACGTATTGTTCTGTGTTCCAAAGTCAACTTCACGCTGCTAAATATTAATAAAAAGTAACATTACAATCATGAATTTGTATACTTGTTTAAGCATAAAACTTAATTGTATTTAATGAATGCAAATTATGCTAATTATATATTATATACACACACACGCACTACATATGTACAAACAGATACACACAAGCATGCACATGCACACATTATGTATTTTAAAAATAAAAACCTTCCAACCTTCTTCACTACATTGAGCTTGTCTGGAGCATGGTCAAATAAAGTATCAAATGCATCTCTTTCTGAAAAAAATTTAGAGATGTTAATATACTGAGCAGCAGTTGTCCAAATGCAGAATAAACACTTATTAAGGCACACACTCGTTTAAGACAACAGAGTCAGCAAAAGGTTTCAGTATAATCTCTTTGTATTCCAAGTACCACATATTTTGCATACTTGCTCTCTTGCTATAAGCTGCTAGTAACTTATTCTCTATTATTTACAAACAGCATAATTTTCAAGTACGATTTGAATTACCTAATAACCCTGTTTCTCAAAAATGTACAAAGAATGGTATCTTTATGCATAAAACCTTAAATAGGCAGATACAGGGAGCTAAGTAACCAAATCATTGTGTGCAGAAGAACATGAGTTTACATCTAAAGTCACTACATCTACAGAGGCCCATTTTCCCCATAGGCCACTGATGGCATTGTGGTGTGCTATATTATTAATCACCTCAAGCAAGCTTATGATTATACAGCTGCAATACAATCCTTTGTATATATGTTTTTGGACCATTCTGATACGCAATTTAGGACATTATCAGCAGGACAGGCAACCTAGGGTTGCATGATTGGAGTGCTACTGTAGTCACCTTCTGAAGAAAACAGGGGAAGGAAAAAAAAAGGCACCAGAGCCTTTTCTGAGCAATTTCCATTTCGACAATCACCTGAATGATAGCAAACGACTCCACAAAAAGCTACTTTCATATTCCTCAATAAAAAAAATGCTAGAGTAGATCCAAATGCGTTTGTAGAAGGCAGACTTTATACAGAGTAAGACTGCTCAGGGATATCATTGGGAAAAGAGGTCATGCATGTAGCCTTTTAAACCAGCTGTAAGGCAGCCATTGAAATAATATAAGAAGCAAATGCTAAATTCTTGGTGGGACTCCACCTAAGCTCCTCAGATGACTATTTTCTGTTGGCCAGGCATTTGGCCAGTCTCAATACTAGCAGTAAGACATACTAGGCACAGGGACTTGCATGGTGTTTAGGCCTGATGAATAATGACTCAAAGTCAATAATGTGTAAGTAGGTAATGTATGCAAGAATGCCAACGAGTTCACCAGCTGGTTTATGATAAGACATCGTTTCATATTATGCTGGGAACTTATGACCATTAATACTATTACAGTAATGTTCTGGAGGTTAAACCATAAAGCACCTGCAAATTAACACATGCTGAAAAACAATGAAATGTGTTTTGAAGATGGTCAGACTGATTTTAATGCTTTTTTCCTTTTGTTAACTGTCACAATAGCCTGTGGTGCATATCTTCATATATTTGCCAGGGCAACTTGAAATCCTCTACTTCCTTGCAGTTTGATCAAAATGACCACCCATTGCAGAACTAATGTATACTTTGGCTGCCTCAAGAAAAAGATAATAATCAAATGAACTTACCATGCCTTCCTGATAATGCCCTATGAAAGAGAAAAAAAAAAAAAAAAGAACAAAACACAGTTATATATAACTCACTTGCAGACATTGTACTGCAAAAGAAAACAGCATACATGGCCAGATCTTCAGCTTGGTGAAAACTGGAGTACATGCACGGAATTAAGAAAACCTTCATCAAGTTACTCCAACTGAGAATCTGGATTAGTCTGAAGTCCATCAGTATAATATCTCCTGGCTTCACTAAAGTCTCATGAGAGGCCAGATCTCAGATTTCCTACTATTGAACCAAATCAACACACCTTGCCTGAGTGAAGGCGGTTTTTTCATGTTGATTTTGTGAAAACTTTTCCCTCTGTTTTAAAGATGCGTTTACCACACCAACTACAATACAATTCCAGCCAAAACAATGCTTGGATTAGGTTCCTAAGGACTGCAGCATTTTGCTCCAGTTGATCCCTCATATAACTACTATACGTAAACAAATCCATAAAGATTAATAATAAGTCAATAGTCCGGCTTCTATCCACTCTATTAGAAACTAGGATATTCAACTATTGCTTTCTGTTGGTTTGGAATAACTTTTCTGTTACAAATTGTTCAGTGAGATGACATGTACGAGGCTTACTACCATCATTTTACATTCCCAAAGTCCAAACACCTAAAAATAGTCATATCACATTCCTTTTTGAAAGAATCTAGTTCTCTATCAAATAAATACCAACATAAAAGAATAAGGCATATCTTTCTTGTTTGTTTGAAGGACTTTTAA